AAGGGTCCATTGTTGCATCAGCATTCGTAATTGTTAAATCATCATAGGTAGAGAGAGAGAGAAGAAGGAGAAGGTGGATCCATCTGTCTTTTGCAAGAAAGCGATTTGAAAAAGTCCAAACACGTTATTGCTGTGTTTGTGTATATATTAACATAATTTCATAATAATAAATCACTACAGCTTTTAAATTCCAACCACCACTAAAATACTAATACCTCTCTCGCTCTCTCTCTCTCTCTCTCTCTCTCTCATATCTCGTTTTGACTTTTTGTATATTGTCCCAAACATCATCCAACGGCTGCCTCTACGTCATGCTTCTCTCTTGGTGACGTCATTAATATCCTATCAGTAAAAATTGTTTAATTCTTCTCTCACCAATTATATATATTTTTTTAAGCAGCCGTGCTTCAGGGCCCGAAAACAGGGGGCTCGAATGCCCCGTATTTCCATTTAAGGTAAAAAAAAAAAAAAAAAAAAAAGGAAAAAAGAAAGAAAAAAAAAACAGTTTCCAAAATTAGAAATTAGGGGCATTAGGGACAAATTTTTTAGGGCCACCAATCATTTTCCTTTTTTAAGAGATAACAGGGTCAGGTCACTAATTAAAAAAGTGGCGCAGGGGCCCTAAATTTCGGGGCTCGAATGCCCCGAAATTCCATTTTAGGTATAAAAAAAAAAAAAGGAAAAAAGAAAGAAAAAAAAAACAGTTTCCAAAATTAGAAATTAGGGGCATTAGGGACAAATTTTTTAGGGCCACCAATCATTTTTGTAAAAAGTGCGGGGTATTTTTTTAACACCATTAAATAATTTCTTAAAATAAAAGTTGTAAAATGAACTCACATGTGTTTAATTCATTAAAAAATTTATTTGACATTTATTCATTATATAAATAAGTTAATTTATGTGCATTTATTTATTAAGACAGATTTGAACAATTTAATACTTAGTTTGTAAACTTATATGTATTATAAAAACTAGGTTTTTGAGTACTTGTTTGGCATATTACATTTGGACTAAAATAGTTATAAAATGATAAAATAGATTAAAAAGTTAATAAAATAAAATGTCGCATTTAAATTATAATTATTTTATTTTTTTTCTTATAAAAATTAAAAAAAGTTAAAAAGCTCATCCCAAATCAGACTTTTTAATCCCATGCTAAAAGAGCCAAAAATTTAAAAAGTTAAAAAACTAAGAGTGGTGATTAAGACCTCTAATAATAGAGCTCTAATAAGAGCACTAGTGACGTGGCAACCTGAAAAAAAAAAAGAAAAAAAAAAACAAAGGCCAAAACATCAAATCACACACTGGGACCCACAGATTAGAGCTCTTCTAGAGCTCACAATTTAGAGGTCTAAAGCATTTTTCAAAAACTAACTCACATTCCAAACAAAATCTCAATAAAGGCTACATTTGGTTGTGGTTAAATAGTCCGTTTATTGGCTAAAAAAAATTTGATTTATTTGGCAACTCATTTTTTTTTTTTTGGATAAAAAAAGTCTATTTTAATTAAAAAAAAATTAAAAATCCAAAAAATAAAAAATATGCCAAATAAATTAATTTTTTTATAATTAGCTTGTTTTTGTAAGTTAGACTTTTTTTGAGAAGTGATTTTTTTTTTTTTTTTAGCTTATTACGAAAAAAACATATAAAAAAGTAGAGAGATGATATTATCCAAATAAATCAATAAACTAAGGGGTTGTTTAGGATATTCTAAATAAGTGTAGTTTTTGATTTTTTTGACCAAAAAGTTGAGAAAAAAAAAGATGATTGTTTGGGATAATTTTTTGACTTTTTACGAAAAAATGTGTATTAAAAAATTATATAAATTAGTGTCTAGGAAAAGATTAAGATGGAATAGGCTGTACGGTGGGATAAATTAAGGGACAACATGTGCAGAGTATAGGCTAAGAGATGGTTCCCTGCTTTTCGAACATTGAATTGGAGGTGTTGTTCGGCCTGTGGGGACCCACCACGGGTCCCGTTTTGTTAATCAAAACCGTTCAATGTGTAGAACTCGTCGAGTACTATATATTTGTAAAAAATCACGTTGATCGGATATCGATAGCTATCTGATCGGATTAATTTTTTTTCAACGGTTAACTGTAACACCATCCATTTTATATATTTTAACTAATTTGATTATATAGTTAGCGATATCCGATCAACCTGGTTTTTTTGAAGTATATAGTACTCGACGAGTTCTGTACATCCAACGGTTCAAATTATTAAAATGGGACCCGTGATGGCCCCCACAGGCCGAACAGCATCGTACTATTTGTGCACTTAAATAAGTGCAATTTTTTCAAAAGGTCAGCTCCGCCTGTGGGGACGTTGGAGTTGTTTAAAAATTAATTTTGTGTCAAATTAATTTGTTAATATTTTTTTGTGAATAGTAATATCTTTTTAACTTTTTAAATAACTTTTTAAATTTTTTAAATATTCCAAACTAGACTTAAATTTTTTTACCTTCTCAAAAGATGCCTTAATTTTTAGCTAACTTCCAAAGGAAACTTAAAATTCCTTTGACACCCGTTCAAAGGGTAAAAAGTCATTTTTTCAATAATTTATGACATGACTTGATATAAATTATTTTTTTAATGATTCAAACCAACTTGACTCATCTTACCGTGCGAATAGCATCTCCAATGATTTATTATTTTTTTCACTAAATTTGAATAAAAAATAGTTAATTTTCTCAATACGGCTAGCTCTAACGATATACACCAAAAGGGAAGGGGTCATCCGGTTAGTCGACCGATAAGGCTTATGAATTTTTTTTTTTTTTTTCCCCTCCTGATTACTCTATCAAAACCTTTTATTTGTTAGTAGACATTGCTAAATTGTGAACTGAGTGTAACATTTGATTTGCATTCTATCTTGATGTTGAGGAGAAGGGATCCGATTGTTTTGATCTTTCAAGCATGTCAATCACACCCACTTCAAAACACAAATTACTATATACAACCCCAGCGATAATATTTTATTTTTTATTTATTTTTATTTTATATAATTTATATGCCTAGAATATTTATTTCCCTGATCTGTTTCTTTTATTATTATAATTAAATGCATCCCACAACACATATAGGCTCAATCCCTCTATTTCCCTATTTTTTTGGATTACCTTTTTTATATCATCTAACTTGTTTTTTTTATTTATTTTTTTTCTCTAAGATGTTTTGGTTCTATGTTGTAAAGAAGCAGATTATTCTCTAAATCACAAAGTAACAGAGGCAGATAACAAACTTGGTGTGGGGAAGCCATTCCCTGGTTTAACCCAAAAAGCTCTAAGCAATCTAGATAACAAACTTGGTGTGGGATTTCTTATTTTGAGGTTGTTTGGAAGAAGAAAGTGGGTGTTGGAAGTTGAGTTTTTAGTCATAAACTCCAAACCTCAAAATTGTATCCATGGCTGATGTTGTACCTTAGAGCTGATGCAACTAAAGGTTTCTCTATAGGCTATCACTATGACACCAGAAGAAAAAGCTTAGGGTCATTCGAGGGGTCAACCCCGGGGTCGTCTGGTTGGTCGACCTTCCAGTGTAAAATCTATACAAAATTTTGCGAAAATTGGTCATCCGGTAATGAAAATACAACAGTAATAAATAGTGTTTTGGTGAAAGACCAGCGCATTCTCATTTTGGCGAAACTTTTGGTGAATTCTCATTTTGATATCAATTTGGTGAAACCATTGGAGTGAGAAAAAGTGAGTTTTTCATCAAATTTCAAATCTGATGTAGGGTTTGATGCACCGTTGGAGATGGCCTAAGAAGTTCTTGATTGGTTCAAGAACAACATTTTGTGTTAGTTTACATATATTATGGTTGATAAAAAAAAGTGAAACTTATAATTTTATGTTAAATAATTAAAAAATATAAAAATATATAAAAATTTGTGATTAATTTAAAATATGATACATAATGTTTTAGAGGTAATCAATAATTTTGCCTAATGCCCAGGCTCATCATGCTGAATTCATTTGTGGGCTCATATGCCCCCACGTCTCTATGCAAACCCCCACCCAAAACAAGTATATCTTTTGTTTTTTGGTTGAACAAAAGCAGGTATATCATTCTTAAATGGTAAAGCCCCCAATTATACTTTTTTTTGTAATGTTGAAATCTCATTTGGCCATTTGATTCTATATAACTATATATTTTTTTAAAAAAAATTAATGGATTCCATTAGAAGCTAATACAATTTATTTTATATTTTTGCTTTTGCTAATAATTTTTGATGAATTTCTCTAAGAGCATCTCCAACGGTGAATCAGATTTTTTTTCAAATTTGAGTAAAAAATAACCCATTTTACCAATTTGATACCACTCGCTCCAACGGTGCACTTTCATCAAATTTGTACCGGGGATAACCGGTTGGTCGACCGGTTAAGCAAAAAATTTTTTTTTTTTTTTTTGATTTTTTTTTGAACTTTTTGAACCTTTTAGTGGTCGACCGGTTAGGCAAATTTTTTTTTTTTTTTTTTTTTTTTACTGTTGAACCTTTTTCTTCGAACCGTTTGAACATTTAGGCGGTCGACCGGTTGGTCAATCGGCCGGGCCACCGGCTGGTTGACCGGTTGGTCTCTCCCAACGGTTAGGAACAGTGATTTGGTAAAATGCTTCGTCTGTTCTCATTTTGGTACCAGATTTGCTGAATTCTGGATTTGATATCGATTTGGTGAAACCGTTGGAGCTCAAAAAAGTAACTTTTTCATCAAATTTTGAATTTGATATCAGATTTGATGAACCGTTGGAGATGGTCTAATGTATCATTTGAAGGATCTTTCTTATCTTGCTTTGGAAGGGGGGTATTAGAATTTGCCGTAATTTTTTTTTTTTTAATAAAAAAAGGAAGCTTTATATGATAATCCAACGGCTAGGATACAATGATGAAACCCAGGCATCATGGTAACGCTATGCTGACGTCACGTCCTATTTTGCTTTCTTCTTTGACCCACCAATGAATGAATCAAAATATATTCACATCTCTCTGTCTTTCTCTCTATAAATACAAATGGAAATCTTAGGTTTGCTTACAGACAAGTGTGTGTAATTGAAGGAAAGAAATAGAAAAGAGTCCTAAAATGTCGAATGTTTTGAAAGAACCTCGGATTGTGGTCAAAAAGTTTCTGGCTAGGCCTCAGCATGAAGGTGTTGGAGCCATTGTCAGACGAAGCATAGGAAGGTAATATTACTAAGATACAATAATAAGACCCAACACAACAGAGTGGGAACAACTATGAAATGTTGTCATGTGTTTTCATTGAAGATCTCAGCTGTTTGACAAAATGCCTAAATGAGTTTTTTTTTTTTTTTTGACAAACTTTGAAATGCTGTTTTGTTTCATTAAAAATCTCAGCTGGTTGACTAAATGCCTAAATGGTTTTTTTTTTTTTTTTTTTTTCTTCTTATGTTTCTTTCTGCAGGTTTGAACTCAAATACTTTGATCCTTTCCTCGTGCTGGATGAATTCTCTGGTAGGCCTCTATGTTTTCCACTCTTTCTTTTTTTTCTTTTTTTGATAATGAGAATTCTGGGTTTGTTCCAACTAGTTTTCAATAAATCTTGTAACCCGTTCCACGGGTAATTATTGGGCACAATCATAAGTGGCTAGGAATGAATTATGTGTTTTATAAGATTTGAACTCTAAATTTGTTCCCACAAGTTTTCGGTAAATCCAGTGTCTTATCCCACACATATCAACTAATTATTGGATATGGAGTGGTTTGGAGTGAATTAAGTTTTTTATGAGATTTGAACATGTGCTTCCCATTACATTTCAGTTTTCCACTGCACTAAACTCTTTGTTTTTTATTTTTATTTTTTATGATGTTTATCGTATATTTGTTTCCTGTTTAATAAATCTTTGAATGTTTGAATTTTTGTTTGTTTGTTGATATTGCAGTTTCTGCACCTGCTGGGTTTCCTGATCATCCACACAGAGGTTTGATTCTCGCCCTTTTTTAAAAAAATTATTTTTTTCTCCAAAATGTTAGATACCGTGCAAAAACATCACAAATAGTACCCAGAAAATGAAATGTTTGATTCTGATTGTAGTTCACCGTACATTTTATTTTATGAGCACATTTTGGGATTTTTTGGGGGGTATGTTTGTTTTTTTCCTCTCTATTTTTCGGGAGAAAAGATTGCTCTGCTTATTAAGAGATTGACATTGGGTTGAGACTGTTTGTTTTGTTTTATGTTTGACAGGGTTTGAAACAGTCACCTACATGTTGCAGGTAAATATATGCATCAATTACTTTTTCCATACCTAACAGAAACTAGGATCCCATTCTTTGTTTGTTTTTCCTGTTTAACCAGCCTCATTTAGTATTTCTTCACAAGACTAGATTATAATTTTTTAAATAACCACAAAATGCCAATCCATTTATTATTTATGGGTAATTAGTCAATTTGATGTGATTGTGAAACTCTACATGTTGCAGGTAAATATATGCATCAATTACTTTTTCCATACCTAACAGAAACTAGGATCCCATTCTTTGTTTGTTTTTCCTGTTTAACCAGCCTCATTTAGTATTTCTTCACAAGACTAGATTATAATTTTTTAAATAACCACAAAATGCTAATCCATTTATTATTTATGGGTAATTAGTCAGTTTGATGTGATTGTGAAACTTAAAACAAAGTACTACCATTCATTTTTTTGTTTTTTAGCTACAAAAAAATTTAGGTTAAATTAAGGCGGGGGGACACTATCTGTGTGGTTAGTCCTACAAAATTTGGCCAGACGCAGTTGTGTGCTTATATTACCATATAAAAATGGGAAGACCTGGCCGACCATGACATTTGAAATGTTGCAAGTTCAGTATTGTTTTCGTTTTCTATTCTTGAAAACAAAAACTGATACAGAAAACTTATTTGAGAAACAATTTTAAAAAGCAGTCCCTTTCTTGGTTAACACTTCAGATTTATTTTGTCTTGGCATAAAAATAGAAACAACAGGTATTACATAACTTTTCATCATTTTTGTTTCTAAAAACACAACAAAAGAACTTGAAAGAACTTATTTTTGTCACTAGGGTGCTGTAACACATGAAGATTTTGAGGGACATAAGGGGACAATAGGAGTAGGTGATTTGCAATGGATGACTGCTGGAAGAGGGATTCTTCATTCAGAAATGCCTGCAGCGCAGGGAACTCAAAAGGGCTTACAGTTGTGGATCAACCTCTCCTCCAAATATAAAATGTGAGTACATCAATCCCTCTATCATATCGAATTAATATTTTTATAAAAGGAAAACTTTGACCGGCTCATCTTGTCATCCAGTACAAGTTTTGTGAATAAACTCGGATGACGTGTCTTACTATGATAGTTTCATTTAAAAATACAAGACTCATCATTATGAACATAATTTACAAGTTTGTCACTCCCACACCATTCTAGAAGTAGATAATGTATAAAATTATGATAATAAAGAAATTTTCAATTCAGATACATAGAATCATTTGCAAACACGCATATCAATTAAACCTGAGTGTTTGTCTTGGACTAGTTAGTCACAATATTTTGTTATATAGCATGAATGGAAAGTCAAATGGTTTTTCACCAATGATGCATTATAATGGATGCTTTTGCAAAAGAGCTTTACATGCAGCTAGCTGACAAAGGCCCATATGCCTATCCTTGTGTGCCTTCCATTTGGATCCCACAGTGAAAAAAGGCATTCTTGATAATGATTGCTATGGAGTTTGTGACTTCTGGCTCTACACTTTAGTAAAGATAGTTGGAATTTTATGCTGATGGGAATCATGGTATCAAACTTTTGCTTTTGTTGTTGTTATTTTGTCATTAAGTTTGCAGACCAATTCAAACTGATCCAATCATGTTTGATAAAAATAAAAATCGAATTCTGTTATGGGAAAAATTGCCTCATTATTTTTAAGCCTTCTCCCCAACCATTAACGTTCTGGGTCTATGTAAAGAAACTCGGAACCAAAAAAAGAAAGAAAAAAATCGGGCCATGTTTTCTAAGAAATTGGGTCATAGTTCTCAATCATTTTGTGGCACCGAGTGTGACTGAACCATCAGGGAAGCTTCACCAAGGAGATAAGTGTGAATCATTTTCTCGCATGACTTTTTAGTAGAAAATTCGATTAGGGAGAGAAGTGTTTGGTCGAAGCTAAAAAAAGGTTGACCCACTTTATTTACTTAGTGAATAATCTTTGAAATATTTAAACTTTAAGTCATGCGAATTATGATTATCAAATACGCTTAAATTATTTTTGTTAAACACACATGTAGTTTCAAGTGCTGAAACAACCACCCTTGAATTTAGAGGGTTTGGTGACAAAAAAAAAAGAAAGAAAGAGAAGCCATGGAGAGAAAAAGAACTCTTTCACTTGTTTAGATGTAAGAAATAGTAAAAAAGTATGAGGAAAATAACTCTATTAAAAACTCTTTTCTTTTCTTTTTCATAAAAAATTGACGAGATTTGTTAAGAAACAAAAAATTGCTGTATAATTTTTTTTTTCTTCAAAATAACTAAATCGCACATTTAGATACAAAATATTGAAAATAAAACCCATACATATTCTCTTTATTTATGGTTCCTCATTCAAGCACAATAGTAAAAGAACACAATTATATATATATATTTTCTTCTTTTCTCACGTGTAAAAAAAAAAAAAAAATCATATTTTTTCACAGGATTGAGCCAAGGTATCAAGAAATAGCAAGCAAGGACATAGCAGAAGCTTCAAAAGATGGTGTCAATGTCAGAGTCATAGCAGGGGAGGCCTTAGGAACCAAGTCACCTATATACACAAGAACACCCACCATGTATTTGGACTTCACTCTCAACCCTGGAACCCATTTGGAGCAACCAATACCTGTTTCTTGGAATGCCTTTGTGTATGTCTTGGAAGGTGAGGGGGTGTTTGGTAACTTAAAATCATTGGCTGTGACATCTCACCATCTTCTTCTTCTGGGCACCGGGGATGGGCTTGAGGCTTGGAACAAGTCATCGAAACCGCTTCGATTTATTCTGGTTGGGGGTGAACCGTTAGGTGAACCGGTGATGCAGTTGGGTCCATTTGTAATGAACACTCAAGAAGAGATTGATTAGACTATTGAAGATTATGAGAGTTATATCAATGGGTTTGAGAAAGCGAGGCATTGGAGATCTGAAGCTATTCTTAGCGTAGATCATTAAATTGTGTTTGAATCTTGGATGTGTTTGAGAGGTATTTGCAAAGGAAAAATGAATGGAAAAATAAATGAAATATAATTTTTTTCTTTTTATTTTTCTCTTCTCTTGTTCTTTTTCTTAGAAAATCGCTCGGCAAATTCATGACTTGAAGTCATGTATATTTGAGTCTAAAAACATGGCTTTAATTGAATACTTGTAACTAAATTAATCTATGAATTTATTTTTTCAAAATACAACTCTAAGGGCTGGTTTGGCTTATCCTAAATAAGTCAAAAAGTCAAAAAATTACTTCAAAATCCAAAAAGATATCACTATTTACCAAAAAAAAAAAATTAAAAAATCAATTTTCTTCAAAATCACTATTCACCGAATTGATGTGTGCGGCAGTGGATGAAAAAGAAATGATTGGGTGTGGTTTTTACACACACCGTTGCTCATCCTATGGGGGTCATCACGGGTCCCGTTTTGATAATCTGAACCGTTCAATGTGTAGAAATCGTCGAGTACTATATGTATGCAAAAAATCACATTGATCGGATATCGATAACTATATGATCAAATCAGTTATGTACAACAAATGGATGGTGTTATAATTAATGATTGAAAAATAAATAGATCTGATCAGATAGCTATCGATAGGTACATAGTGTTCGACGAGTTACACACATTGAACGGTTCAGATTATTAAAATGGGACCCGTGATGACCCCCACGGGCCAAACAAAATCGTCCAATGCTTTGTATAAAAATTAGCCAATAATTTTCAACTCCCATTCACACCTTCCGATTTGTACGGCTGGGGCCCACCTGTCACTATTCATCTCTTACACACTCTTTTCATACAATTTTTTAATACACATTTTTTCATAAAAATCTAAAAAGTTAACCCAAACCTTCATATTTTTTTCTCAACTTTTTTAATCCAAAAAGACAAAAAGTGCACTTTTTTAGGACACCCCAAACCAGCCCTAAATTTAAAAATGTATTTTGAAAGCAAATTTTATCATTACTATACTATTGATGATACACAAACAATAAGTAAAGAGTAGTGTTGTTTGGATCGAAACCTATCAAATGCAGACGTGCTTTTTTTTATCATAATTAAATTAGAGATGTGATCGGATCAATAAATTATATTTTATTTGGCTTAAAGTTTTTAAAAAATAGTTTTATGAGTTATTGATTCATATATATATATTTTTGTTTGGAAAATGCGTGGTAGCTCGAGAGTGCGGTAGCTCGAACGGCTCGACAGCCCAAAACGATGTCGTTTTGGGCTATTTTTTTTTTTTTCTTCTTCTTCTTCGTCATGCTGGTCTGAAACAGAGGAAGAGGAGAGAGAGAGAGAGAGAAAGAGAAAGAGAGAGAAAGCAGGGGAGAGTGAAGAGTGAGAAAGTGAGGGAGAGGGAGTATTTTAAGAGGAATAATAGTGTGTAAATGGATTCTCGTGTGGAGTGGGACATGTTTGGGACAAAGAACCAAAAGTAAGGAGGGTTTAAAAAGAATGTTTCTACTTTGTGGTAATATCTTTTCTTTTTCCTTTTTTAAAATATATAATTATTTATTATCCAATTTATTTTACCTTATCTTTTCCTTTTTTAAGGTTTTTTTTTTTTGTTTTGAATTTATTATCGAATTTATTATATCTTTGTATTAATATATTATTTAGGCCAAGTTTGGGAAGATTAAATAAGTGCACTTTTTGTCTTTTTGAACTAAAAAATTGAGGTTGAAAATATGG